CCCGTCATCTGTCTGACCACGTGAAGGATGATTTCTACCAGGGACAAAGGGTTCACCCTGAAATAAAACCACCAGCCTTTGAGTGCCAGCAAGCATCAATGTTTTCATTCTCAAAGTCAAAAGTAGATGAAAGGGTGTTACCTGTGTTCAAATTCACTAATGAAGTTTTCATAGAGCTGTGGAGCCAAAACAGGGAGAGGAATTACAGGACGCCTTTCATTCCACCAAGCCCAGACCGCAGACACCGCCGCGGCGCGCGCCCCACCGCTGGCCCCGTGCACACGCTCAGCGGGAGGCCCGTCCCCGGGCCCCGGCTCACGCACACGGTCGCACACGGTCGCCGGTGGAGGGAGACAGGGAGGCGGGGCTCTCCAGCTTCGGAACCAGAACCCGCCCTGTGAAACCCTCCCGAGGGCCAGCCGGTTCTCCCTCCAAAGCACTCGAAGGCAGGCAGACTCCCGGTCTGAGAGGCCCAGTGACCTAACAGATTCTAGGCGACTGCAGGCAGGTCACATCTGTCACCAGCTTCCTCAGCCAGGCAGCCAACTCTTTGGGCACGTCCTCCGACTCTGCCGGTGCAATCGACTCAGAGCGTCCAGCCGCAGAGACGTGCACACAACGAAGGAAAGACCTCCCGCACCCCCGAGAGCTCAGGAGCAAGAGAGATCAACGCAAGGCGGTTGCAGAGGTTGTCCCGGAAGTGGCGATGAGCCCCGAGGGGGCAAACGGGCGACAAGTGCGGAGCGGAAGACAGGCAGCCGGGCAGACACTCCAGGCGGGAACAAGCAAGTGCTGAAGGAAAGCCTGCATCGTGCTCTGCGAGAACTTCTCACGGGCAGAGCGCGACCAGGGGCAGAGCGCAGCACCGGGAACGGCCGAGGCAGCGGCGGCAGTGGGACAGACGCGCGGTCGGAAGGCGCTGCCGGTGAGGCTCTGGGCAGGTCCCAGAGACGGGGAGCCCAGTACGACCGCCGAGCTCACGGCCGGGAAGCTGGGCAAAGCAGGGAGAGCGAGCCTCCAGGCAAGGTCAAGTTAGGGCGAGCGAGTCCGAAGTGCCTCTGGGACATGAAGACAGAAGACTGCGCACGAGTGTGGCACGTGCCTATCTGCCCACAGGAGTGCTGCCCGGCCGCAAGGAGAGAAAGTCCCGCCCTGTGCGGCCGGAAGGGACGTGGAGGGCGTTATGCTGAGAAATGAGCCAGACGGAGAAGGACAAACACTGTGACTTCATTTACACGCGTAACCTGAAAAAGCCCAAACTGCAGAGCTACGGACACCGGCCTGGGAGTTGCCAGGGGCAGGGGGCAGAGTGTGAAACGGGCGAAGGGGGTGGGAAGGTACAACCCCCCCCCCGTAAGACGGCGCGTCCAGGGGGAGCGTGGCCACAGCCTGCCGTCGCCGAGCCGGAGCGCCCCAGCTTCTGTAGGAGGCGGGAGACTGACCCCGCCCGCGCGGGGGGTGTCTGGGCGGCGACAGGGGATGGGCGAGCTGACCGTGGCGACCATTTCCCACTGACACACGTGTTGGACCGCTGTGTCAGTGATTTCTCAGTGACCCTCGGGGGGAGAACACAAGTCATGTCCCTGTAGCCACCAGTCATACAGTGACTCTGTCACCCAACAAAAAGCAACGTAAGTTAAAAGGTTTTTGTGTTACAAAGGACGATTTCAGTGATACCTTCCTTTGTTAAGAGGGAATACTTCAACAGCTCTAATGCCTATCGTAACCTGTGGAAGTACGTAAGGAAAAGAAAACCTTCTGCAGAGAGACGTCCACGAAGCCCAGAAACTCAAAACTACTCCTGAAGTCACGAATACGATCTATGTGAAAGTTATGTGCACTAGGTCCCAACAGTTTTTAAAGGTTTTGTCTTCAAAATTACTAAACTTAAGTTTGTTGACCTGAATAATGTCACGTTACAAGGTTGAGGAAATACTTTGCAATGTATAGGAAATGTCTTAACACATTGCGTACCCCATAGAAATCTCTCAGACATATGCCAGGGTCGAATGTCCAAAATACAATGTAACTGCAGCGCTTTAGGGGTTCGTGCAATTATATAGTTTTTTGTAGATTGACCTGCACGGTTTCCACCCATGAGATCATTTCATTCGATGTGGACAAGACACTGTGTTGACATCTAAAGTCTGTAACAGATGGCGCGCGAAACACGAGAAAACCCGTGAGCAGTATGCACTGTGTTAAAGACGAGAAAGCATAGAATAAAAATGAGCAACTATAAACTTTCTATCATTGTGATGCAGACCCTTAGGAAACAAATAGAAAGACAGCCCTAATTTACCCCTTCTTCACACAGCCCAGCGCACTGTCCAGGCTTACAGGGGATCACACGCTCCCTTGAGTGTAAACGTCACGCTGACGGGTATGCACCACAGCAGGTCTTGGGGCTGGGGGGCACTAAGGTGGCGAGTGTTGCTGTGGGCACATGGGGTGTCGTGTGCAGGGCAAGGGGCTCAAGCTGTCACTGCGAACGGGCTCTCAGTTCCACGCAGGCATCGACCTCTGATTCATTCAGAATCCAAGAGAAAGGCACCAGGAAGCTGTGAAGAGGAAGTGAGCAGCAAGCAGACCCACTCAGCTTTCTCAGATCTGCGAGCAGCCGGGGCAGGGAGGGGTTTTTCATGCTGCAACAACTCTACCATGTGCTGTGCTGCAGAGGTGGCGCCTGCTGCGGACGCCGCGCCGCCCTCCAGGCCCCGGCCGCACGCCTCAGGCTCTCTCTTTTCCACAGGGCCCAGGACAAAGGTCGCGCCAGCAGGCAGTCAGTGATGGGGGAGATCCTGTGGGGAGCCCTCTCTCTGTTCCCTACCCCCCCCAGCTGGTTCTGAACTTTCGGTTTTGAATAACAGTTTTCTAAAAGTACAGTAGTACAACAGTGGGATTTGAGAGCACACTATAAAACAGTATTTTAGTCTGGGGCTTTACGAGACCGAATGTGTGTCACTTAGTAGCTGTGACCTGCAGCAAGCACTTAATCTCTGGGTGCTGCTCCAAAGGCGAAAAGCCAGGCGGCGGCAGCGCCGGGCTCCTAGTGCTGCTGGGAGCCAACCGGCCAGGGAGCGAAGCACCGAGAACAGCACCCGACACAGAGTGACAGCTCAACAGGGTGGTGTGACCTTGTAAGTCCCGCCTCTGATCTTAAAAAGTCCTTGAACATATTTACATAATCCGACACATCACATACCTTAATGAGGCCATCTCCTTGGGCAAAGCATGGGTCCTGCACAAAGTCAAGCACCTGAAGTGTCAGCTGATGCCACAACCTGGAAAACATAAGGCCCTTAAGACCTGGACCCAACCCAGACACTCGGCCAGACCGTCCGATCACACAGCAGAGTCCCCCGGCCGCACCGCACACCCGGCCGGGTGCCCACCCAGGTGCTGACCGACCCGCGCCCTCTCCTGGCTGGGCTCCTCTGCGGTCCTGTCCCCGAGACCACCTCTCCCCTTCAACGCTCTGTTTCCCAGCTATAAATGGAGAACACCCTCCTGGACACCTCAAAGGGTTCCTGTGAAGTTCAGCTGGAAACGAGAACTTTGGAATCACACATATTCAGGGGGAGATCCTGACCCTTCTGTCTATCGACTGAGAGTCTCAGGGATGGAGCTCAAACCGAGCTCCAGTGTTCTCATCTCCGGATGGGAAGGCTTAAGAATTAAATGAGTGAGCACAGAACACCTCTGAACACCAGCACCTTTAAAACAGAAAGCTAATTATGGAAAATGCAAATAAAATGCTTTGAAAAAATACAAAGTGGTACCTAACACAGGCAATTGTTTGCTAAATACTGAGAACTTTCTCTCACAAACTGGTGAGGCAGAAAGGTGAACACGTGCCAAACACGTATCGAATGCCTACCTGAAGTGCACCATGCTGAACGCTGGGGTAGCCAGCTTAAGAAATGACAATCTAACCTTTCTGAAATTCATGCTATTTCTAAACAAACCCAAACTGCGATCAATCTAGCCGCACACGCCCGAGATGAAGCGCAGTGGAATGTGGGGCCCACGGGCGAGGGGAGCAGGAGTTGCACCCCAGCGCGTACCCATCCGCAGAAGCGACGCGGAAAAGGGCAAAACTGCCCTGGCTTCAGGGTCATGCGCCGCAGACCCACGCGGAGGACGGCTGTGGACACAGGCCACGTGCAAGACACAGGGTCTGCTTTCCAAAACGGGGGACAGCCTGACCCGCGCGGAATCGAGAGCTGCAATCACAGGCCAGCCCTGAACTCTCTTCCTAAACCAGAAGGGAGTTCAGACCTCAGGACAGCCCCTTGGCCAGGAAGGAAGCAACCCCAGGACCCCCAAACCCTCACCCCGTGCGCTGTCACCACTCCCGCCGCCTCCCCTTCGGGGTCCCCGCCCTCCCCCGCCTCCCCTCTCCTCTCGCCCCGTCCGCCGGCCCTCTCGGCGTGGCGCTCACTTCTTCGTGTAGAGCTCCTCCAGACGGTGCCACACAGCGGCCTGGCCCGGCCCCGAGCTCTGGCTCTGCTGGAGAAAGCCGGTTACGTCCTTCATGACGGCGAAAAAACACAGGACGGCAGCACCACCGAAAAGTCTGTGCCGCAGGGATGGCGGCCGGAAGTGCTCACTCACTTCCGGCGCCGCGCCGCGCGGGGCAGGCCGGGAGCGCCGTCCTCGGCCCGGGGCGCCCGTTGGTTGTCAGGGTAACCGTGCCTCCGGGCCCCAGGTTGGTCCGGATTTCCGGCGCCGCGGCCGTGAGAGCCGCAGTTCGTCATCTCAAGTAGGGAGAAGATAGTACGTTCCTAGTAGTGTCTTTCGATCAGAGTCAGCGGTCGAGAAGCGTCACCACCATCCCGACTGAAAAAAGGTCGGGTACGGGACAGAGAAATGCGGGCTCCGGCTTTGGACTCGGTGTGGAGCTCTGCCGCGTAGGGAACCGCCCCCACCCGGCGCCTACCAATCCCGGGCCGCGTGGGGTGGGGCGGGGCGGGGTTGGGGGTGGAACGAGCGAGCTGAGGCGCCCCTGACGCTCCGGGACGAGGGAGCGAGCGGGCTGCGGCGAACATGGCGCTCTGGGCTCGCCGTGCTGTTCGTGCTCTCAGGCTCTGGGGCCCGGGCCGTGAGCCGGCCTGGGCCTGCCGGCCTCGGTTCGTCCGGGTAGCAGCCGCGGGGCGGGCGGCGGGGGCCATGTTGCCGTGGAGGCCGGAGGCCGGGGTGAAAGCCCGGAGAGGGCTCGGAGCCCGGCGGGGCAGCTGTCAGGCGCCCCCGCCTGGTGGACGGGCCGACGGGGCACGGGGAGTGTGCTGTCCGTCTCCGGCTCGGTTCTCGCTGCTTCTCGCGGTGTCGCGTGTCCGTTGTTGACACCGCCGCGGTTAGAGCTCGGAGTGTGCTTAGGAGCCTTCCCCGCAACAGCACGCCTTGGACTTCCTTCCTTTTCCAAGTGCCCTTCTGTCTTCGGTGCTCCTCTGCGGCGTTCCGCTAACCCGACGCCCCCCGACGTTCGTAACCGTGCTCTTGCTGGGGCGGTTTCCGGTCTCGAGTGTTGCAGATAACGCTGTGGTGACTCGCCTCGTCTGTAGCGCACTTTTTCCATCAACTCTTAGTAACGGGACTCCTGGGTGTGGAGCGGAACGCGCTTCATTGTCCCCCGTGAAGGTCGCGTAGGCGATGCCCCCACCGGCACGCGTTCGTACCCTTCCTTCTGCACAAATTGTAGCGCTTGGAATCCCAGTCTGGGAGCTGAGCCTGCTTACAGGCCCGCCCTTAGTAGGACACTAATTTAAATGCCCAGTGTTGGGTGAGTGGGAAGAGTTAAGGAAGGAGTGGGACGGTGCTTGACGCCGTCTTACGCAGCTTCTACAAATACTGGCGAAATGTTTGACAAAGTGATAGGAATCTTTTATTCACTCGAGAAACCGTTCAGCTCTTATTCTGTGCCAAGCTCTGCTGTAGGCGCGGAGGGCACGCGGGTGCTGGCGGCACTTTCGTGCAACTCGTTCCAACCCCAGACCTGCGGCGGCTGTGAGGGCAGCCCGGGCGGAACGGTGGCCTGAACCACAGGAGCTGCGCAGAGGCCGGCCTGGCCCAGACCGCCACTGGCTGCCGCTGTCCCCGGCAGCGGGAGGCGTGGGCGGCCGGCAGCCGGAGTCTGCGGCCTCTGAGTTCTGACTGTGGGGCTTCCGCACGGAGTCCGGTCTGCTCCCCTTTCCCAGGCAGCGCCAGGCTCGCTCCTCAGGGCGCCCCTGCTCCCAGCGAGTCTCACTCCGCGTGACATGTGGACTTGAAGGCACACACCTTAGGTGCATCCTAGACGTGCGGTGAAATTCTGTCCCTGAGCATTGACACAGATGAACAATGGCCTGGGGTCCCTGGACAGGACTCCCACGCAGCAGGCACTCGCTGCTGAGGGCTCAGCCCCCCTCACGGCCCCTCCAGAAGCCACTCCAGGCTGTCATCTGTGCTTCTGACCCGAGGGGCTGTAGCTCTGAGGTTCCCGCCACCCCCTCCGGTTGGACTCATTTGCCAGAGCAGCTCACAGAACTCAGGAGACCAGTTTACTCGCTCAATTTCTGGTTCATTGCAAAGGACGTTAAGAGACACGAATAAAGAAATGAAGAGACAGGGCAGGGTCTGGAAGGGTCCCAACAAAGGAGCTCAGTCCTTGTGTTTGGGGCCTGGGGCCTGGGGCCTGGGGCCTGGCTCAGGAATGCTTCCGGGTTCCCCAGGCTGGGGAACTCTGAGTCTCCCTCCTGCTGGCTGTTCTCAGAGGCGCCCACCCTCTACCCTCTGCGTTGGTTCCCCTGGAAACATCCTTAGGGGCTTTCCGGGTCTCGCATTAACGTAAGCTCAGGTATGGTTGAAAAGAGCTGTGAAGACCAAAATTTGTATTTAGCGTAAGTCATGTTATCACGCCTTTCCTCTCATTCTGCCTGTAGTTCTCACAACAATTCGCACTTAGGAGGAGCTCAGTAAATGCTGGGTTTCAGTGCCATGGTGGAGCCAGAGCGTCGTCTTTCCTGCCTGAGCACCTGACCGTTCCCACTGGAAAGCCCCTCTGGACATGCACGCGGAGGAGAGCTGCAGGTCCTCGCTGCAGCGAGCGTGCTCAGAGCCAAGGCATCCGTGCGGGAGCAGGGGCGAGAGAGCGCCGCTGGCCTGGCCGGAGGTTGACGGCCGTGGGTCCTTTCAGGCAAGGCCGTGGGAGCCTCTCTCCCTGCCTGGCTGGGCTCTGGCAGCTGAGGCGCAGGGCATCCGAGTGACGAGGAGAGAGGCAGCGGGCTCGGGCTCTGGCTCCTATTGGTGCCCTCGGCCCTGCATGTATGCTGTCCCTTGTCACTTTCTTGTTTCGTTGTACGCCTTACAGAAGCCCGTCCTTTGGATAACCCTGGTGAGGCTTTGTCTGGCAGGAGAGGGGATGATATGAAGGATGCACGTGGACTGAGAGGCAAGCAAGTCCCAGAACTGCAGGTCGCTGGCCACAGAGCAGGGCCAGGCAGCCCCACAGGGCCAGTGCAGGACGGGAAGAGGTGACCCTAAGGGGGGCGGGGAGCCAGCGCTGGCACTGTTCAGAGGAGGGGCAGTGACTTCTCCCTGGGCTCAGCGGTGGCCTCACGAGAAGCCGAGCTCGACTCGGGGGATGTGGGCACCTGGAAGTGGAGAGAGGGAGCTGGGTGGGCGCAGGGACTGGGGAGCCCTTGTCCGGCTGGAAGCAGGAGCGCGTGAGGGCCGTCCCCGCAGCCGGACGGGCGGTGCTCAGAGGTTAGAGCCCCGCAGGAGCGGAGAGCTGCAGGGAGACCCCCGCAGGCGTGTGCAGAGCAGGCCACTGCGCAGAGGTGGTAGTGCTGGTTCTGTAAGGAGCCGAAGGAAACATGACGACAGAGCAAACCGAGAGGGAGTCAGGGTTGCCCTCCCAGAAGGTAAGCTCCGAATGGCCTTGCCGCGTCTAAAGACGTGCGTTCAGGGGGCGTGTTTCTTCCACGTGCCGCAGGGGAGCTGAGGGAGCACTCGGTGCGCTGTGCTTAGGTCTGTGGTCACTGTGGGGCCGTCATCGTCGGGGGAGGCTGCCCGTTCACTTTGTTGCCTGTCTTCGGTCGCGGTGGAGGGGTCGGTATGCCGAAGTCACGGGTGCTGGCCCTGGGGTGCAGGAAGGTGCCCGAGCAGGGCCTCGTGGTCACGGGCTCTGGGCGGGGCACCAGCCTGACACCAGGAGGTGGAGGGCTTGGCGGTGCAGCGTGGTGACGCCAACGAGGGCCCTGCTGAGAGGGCACCCGGAGCTGCGTGCCGGCAGGTCCCCTCCGTCGGCCGTGACGAGAGCCGCGTGCCGATTGGCTGTGGGTGTGGAGTCGGCCGCAGTTCGAACCCTTGGCTGTCGAGCCCCTGGCTGTCGGGGTTGGGATGTCACGAGCGTCTCTTTGTGGGATGGTCTCTAGAACCTGCTTTTTATCCTGACGGTATTTGGAGTCAAGTCAGAGAGGTTTAACCTCCTTTGAATAACGGCACCGCACCTCGGTCGCACCCCAGGTGTGTGTGTGGAGGGCCTGGCAGAGCGAGCGCCTGGCCGGCAGAGGGGCTCTGGGCTCGGGGCAGAGCCAGCACTGGCCTCTGGGAGCCGGACTTGGGAAACGTTGCCACGTTGCTTTCCTCGTTTGCCCACTTCCCATTCACAGGATTTCTTTTTGCCCCCAAATGAGTCCCACTTTCTGCGTTGAGACCGCTTTCTGTTGGAGCCCCTTACATGTTCGTGATGGGGAAGGGGCCGTCAGGAACAGGAGGGGTTGTGTGGCCATCCTGCGGGTGGGGCGGGGACGTCTCACTCTCCAGCACCAGCCGGACTTGCTTGGTGGCGGTCCCTGACCGCTCTCCTTTTCTGTCAGTATCGCAGGTGGAAGGACGCCCATATCTTTTTCGGCTGTTGTCTCGAGTGCCTTTGGAAATGGAGGCGACAGGAAGAAGGAGAAGCTCTTCCTACAGGACATCGCGGAGCTGATTCGAGCCCGGGCCTGCCAGAGGGTGGTGGTCATGGCGGGGGCTGGCATCAGCACAGCCAGTGGCATCCCGGACTTCAGGTGCCCGCTCCACGCCTGCTCCGCGCTCGCGCGCCCCCGCCGCTCCGCTGCCTGGGCCTCTAACGGCTCTGGCCTCTCTCGGCAGGTCTCCCGGGTCCGGCTTCTACAGCGCCCTGCAGCACTGGGACGTCCCCTACCCTGAGGCCGTTTTTGAGCTCTCGTTCTTCTTTGACAACCCCAGGCCCTTCTTCTCGTGGGCCAAGAACCTGCGCCCGGGGAACTTCCGGCCCAATGCCATCCACTACTTCCTTCGCCTGCTGCACGACAAGGGGCTGCTGCTGCGGCTCTACACGCAGAACATCGACGGGCTCGAGCGAGGTGGGTCCCGCCCGCCCGGCCTCCCTCCACCCCGGTCCGGCCCCGGCCCCTTCCGGGCGCAGACGCCCTGGGGCGGACGTCAGGAGCCTGTGGCTTTGCTCATCCCATGCAATGGCCCCTCTTCAGAAATGTTGTTGTGGAATTTTTCAAGCCTGTGAAAGTAAAGAGGGGAACGGGAGGAACCCTCTTGTCCTCCTCAGGCCCTCCCCGGTCTTCCCTCTCACCCCAGATTATTTGGAGGCAAGTTCCTCACAGTATAACTTTAATCTAAAAGTAAATACCAAAAAAGAAAATAAACTCGTCTGTAATTCCACCATGGGTATCTGTAGAAGATAAACACCCTGAAAACATAACACCTCCTTAGGCTACCAGACTCCGGGAGAGTGGACGATGTCTGGGCTGTGTCTGCACAGTGGCCACAAGCAGTGACTCCCAGCAGGCACCGGGCCCTGTCCCTCCCTGCAGCCACCCCGACGGGCCGAGGGCCGACTGGCCAGGCCGCACGGCTCCTGGTTCGACAGAAAGGGTCACCCCGGCTGCAGGGAGATGTTTCCCGGCCGGGAGGGCTGTCCAGCAGCGGGCGCCCCGTGGGGACGGTGTCTGCTCCCCGGGACGCGCAGGGCAGGCCTGGGGGGAGGCGGGGCGCCTGGCCGGGGCTGCTGGAGGCCGGCGGGTTGCGGGGCGGCGGGCGGGGCGGGGCGGCCGCAGCAGCGGGACCCTGTCCGTCCCCCTCCAGCTTTTCCGACGCTGACAGCGGTAACGCACCACTCACAGTGTGTCGCCGCTTGTCTGTTTTTCCACTGTTTTTGGAAATTTATTGCATTTCTATTATTTTCTCACCTTTATCTGGTGGCTGTAGAATAGGAAGTGTTTTCCTACGCGTCGGATGAAGTTCGTTGGAACGCACCTCAAATGTGCGTGTGCTGTTGGGACAGGCTGCTTTCGCTGTGTCTGAGAGCCCTCTCCCCGCTCCTGGCCCCGCGCGTGGCGGAGGGAGGGACTTCAGGCTTCTGAGGGGCTGGGACTCCTCCCCAGGCCCCCGGCCCAGAAGCGGTGCACCGCCCCCCTCCCCCGGAGCAGCAGCGCTTAGCTGTGGTTTCCCTTTCAGCGTCGGGCATCCCTGGCTCCAAGCTGGTCGAAGCGCACGGGTCCTTCGCCTCTGCCACCTGCACCGTCTGCGGAAAACCCTCCCCGGGGGAGGGCTTCTGGGTGAGCTGTCGCGCAGGCGGCGGGCCCGTCTGCGCTCGCGGTGGGCGGTCTGGACACGCGGGGCTTCATGAGCGGGTATCACAGAGACGGAGCGGTCATGGTGTAAATGCTTTTCTTGGTTTTAAAATTAGAAATGTAACACGTGCTTGTGAACATTAAGGCGGCGAAGAAATACGTGGGACAGGTGAACCTGTGCCCACCACTTGTGGGAGTTCGGTGTGTAATGCTGATGCCTGTCCCACGCACACGTGTGCGCCTCCCCCACACAGCTCGATTCGTTGCTGAGCGGAATCCCACGGATAGCCTGTCAGCAGCACAGGTCCGCTCCGGTCCAGTGACTGCAGAGGGCTGCGTTGGGCCGCCCCTCTTGTGGGTTGTTCCAGGTGTTTGCATTTTTTACTCAGCAACAGAGCACGGAGGCCTGTGCTTACCCCCCGCCTGCCTCTGGGGGTTTCTGTGGGGCAGGGCCCCTCAGGGAGAGTTGGGTGGGACTGAACGAACACTTTAAAGATGGAAAGGAAACGCCGCTGTGGCCCGGGACCCTGTCTTTTATTTTCTGCTGAGGCGGGACTCACACGTGGAGTTAACGGTGGTGACAGGTGCGTAGCACTGGCATCTCCGTCGCGGGTCGTGCGGCCACCACCGCTTCCTAATGGAAACCCTGAGAGGGACCCGGACCTACGCATCCGTCAGCCCCGTCCCCGCCCTCCCTGCCCCTGGCGACCCCTGACCCTTCCCTGTCCCCTCAGTTCCCTTTGTCAGAGCGGCACAGAGTGAGGATCACAGCGTGTGATCCTCTCCAAGTTTTGGGGGGGCTCTGGGAAACCAAATGGGTAAAATGGCATGTAGAAGCTGGGGGACAGGAATTTACTTATAAAAAATTGGGTATTTGTTCTTACATGTTTAAATGTCAGCGACCCTCACAGCGCTCTCCACTGGACACGCTAGGCCCACCGAGACTCCTTCCCCACGGCTCGAAGCAGGTTTTGAGTGTGTCAGCTTTGATGCCTTGTAGTGCTTCTGCCATTTTTTTGTTTCACCTCTTCCACGTTGGCAAAACGCTTCTCCTTGAGGACTTTCTTCGTCCAGGGAAACAGAGACAATAGCCGCGTGGGGAGAGATCCGGGGAACCGGGAGCGGGGGCACGGGGCCTTGCCAGTTGGGTCCAAGTGCTGAGCAGGGGGCGCGGTGTGGGCAGGTGGCTTGTAAACCGCTCCTCATGCGATGGGCGGACGCGTGGGAAGAGTCTTCAAAAAATCTCCCCGAAGCCGAATGCAGCCTCCTCGACAGCTCCAGCTGGTCGCTGTCCGGGCGGATTCCCGGAAGCCTAGCAGGGGGGCCTGTCCTGCCCCGGGCTGCCCTCCGGGGGGATTCCGTTTTTCTTGGTTCCCCTCCCTACGTGGGGGCTGATTGCCCTGCTCAGCTGTTGGGTATGAAACGTCCTGCCTTGTTCTGCCTTGCTCTTCTCTGCGTTGTGCGCTCTCCCTTGAGCCCGTCCTCTCGTGCTCCCCAGGCCGCCGTGATGGAGGACAGGGTCCCCCGCTGCGCGGCCTGCACGGGCGTGGTGAAGCCTGACGTCGTGTTCTTCGGGGAGGCGCTGCCGGAGCGGTTTTTCCTGCACATGGTGGACTTCCCCACTGCAGACCTGCTGCTCATCCTCGGGACCTCCCTGAAGGTGTGTCCGAGCTGGGGGCGGGGCCTGAGGGGGCCTTGGAAGGCGAGTGGGCCCCCCTTGGGGAAGCAGGTGCTCTGGGCCCAGGGAGCAGCAGGGTGGGGAGGAGGGCGCCAGGTCTGGCAGTGCTGTGAGTGGGAGTGGGAGGCGCGGGGGAGGGGAAGCGGGCTTCCCGGGTCACAGGCCAGTGTGACGCCAGCCCCGGTGACAGACTCGGACGGCGCGGACCAGGGACCCTGCGGGGGCCAGGGGCAGGCACTGGAACGAGCAGGCGTCCCGGGGCTGGTCCAGAAAAAGGCAGGGCGCTGGGCATGCTCAGACCACGTGACCGTGAGAGAGACCGAGGACGGGGACCGCGGCACTTGCAGCCTGGAGGCACTTAGAGGACCAGAGACGGCGACGGAGGAACTGGCCAGGTCCTGGGGGCTCAGAGCACTTGCCAGTGTGGAGGATTCGGGAAGGAGGGGAGGTGCTGCGCTCGGCTGCGGGCCTTTGCGTTTGAGGAGCCGGGGAGCTCGCCTGCTGGGTGGGTGTGGGAAGCAGCCCCTTGTGGGTCTGATGCCCAGGAAGTTCGTAAGGGATGTGAGGAGGGCAGGGTAGGTGAGCCGAACACAGGCTGGGCCTGGCCGGATGGAGGCGCCAGGGTTGATGGGCCAGAATGACCTGCGCCTGCGGCCCAGCCAGCCCGGTGGCCAGGGTGCACCGCGAGCGTCACGAGCGGGTTGTGCTGGGGGAACGTGGCGCGTGGCACAGAAAGTCGAGCGGGGCTGGGACTGGCTGGGAGCTGGAGCAGGCGGGAGCGTGAGAGGGAGACATCGCGGGGGGACGCTGCCCCACGGTCTGTGGCCGCCTGCCACGGTGCCGGGTGCGTCAGCGATGGCGGGCTGACTCCCGTCCCTCCGGCTGCTGTGTCCTGAACAGACCACAAGACTGGCGTGGCACAGGCGGTGACCCAGGGGCCGTAGAGCCGTGCGTGTGCAGCGGTCAGCGGGGCAGTGTGGCTCCCGTGGGGTCCGGGGCTATGGCCTGAGCAGCTGCCACGCCAGGGCGGGGCTGATTTCCTGAGACAAGGGGCCCGGTGGGCGGGGGTGGGGCACCGGTCAAGCTGATAGGAGGAGCGTGCGGGGCTGCTGAGTGGACGTGCCGGGCAGGCCGGAAGGCCCAGAGGTAGGAGCGGGGCTGCCCGAGCGGGGCCAGGGTGGGACCCCCGCCGGGCCTGGCTGGGGGCGCCAGGCGTGGAACAGGGGCTGCCAGTCCCCTCTGTTTTGTAAGTGAAATCAAAATAGCCCTCCCCCCGAATCTAAAAGTACCATATCATTGTTTTTCAAAAATTTATACATTCTGTAGAGCAGTAGAGCAAAGGAAGGAGTCATCCCTCCCGGCGGTCAGCAAAGGAAACAGTGCCTCCAGCGTTTGTGGGGGAACACGGCCGCGCGCATCCACGTGCGTGCCTTTTTGCGTGTTCTGCAGTGAGCGCGTGATAAGGGCCTGCTTGGCAGAGACGCTGCTCACACCGAGCAGGGTCCGGGGTGGCGCGGCCGGGCGGGGGCGGCGGCAGCAGCAGCGCGTGCAGGGGAGTCGCGTGTCGGGCACTGACACCACGTTTCTTCTCTTCGGGGCGCACGTTTGTGCCTCTTAGCGTTTTTCATGGGATCCTTTTCTTTTTCTGTTCCTAAGTTACAAATGTAAGTCCATAAGCTGTGTAAAATGTTCCTAAGTTTGCTTACCAATCAGCAATATAAGCTGTTTGTCACATATAACCTCTTTTGCAATTGGTTTGTGGTGGTGAGGTTTTTAAAAATTATTTTTCTACTGTTTCATGTAGGAACTGATGTGGTGGCATTCCACGTCAGCTCAGCCTCACCCGGCTTCGGTTGTCACGCCCGCCACCCCTTTCCTACTTTTACTTTGACACCCCCTAACACTGAGGCCTTCAACCGCTGGAAACTGTTACCGTGAAAGGGAGGAAGGGAGCCGCTTCCTCCCAGAGAGGGAGCAGGTGTCAGCACCGCTGCCGCTGGTGTGTCGGCCACGTGCGCGTGGCGCTGGCAGCTGGAGGGTCACTGGCTGGGGGCACGCAGGAGGGTGAAGTGGTGTCCGGGAAGTGGCAGCTGTCGCGCTCACACTCAGCCTGGGGCCGGTCTTGTGCTCAGGGAGCAAGGACAGAGCACGAGAGGGGTCGCTGGTCAGGCCGTCCTGTGGGGCGTGGCCTGCTGGTGGGGGCGTGGCCTGCTGGTGGGGGCGTGGCCTGCGGGGAGGGGCGGTGAGCCTGCGACGCGGGACCTGTGCCCGGCACGGGGCTCGGAGGGGGCGAAGCAGGTGGCGGGCTTTCCCTCCCTGAGGCCTCGCGCCGCTCTCCTGGGGGCACAGGAGGCTGGACGGGCCCCTCACGTTGGGGAGCTTTTCAGGTGGAGCCCTTTGCCAGCCTGTGTGAGGCCGTGCGCAGCTCAGTGCCCCGAGTGCTCATGAACCGGGAAGCTGTGGAGTCCTGTGCCTGGCGTCCTCGCAGCAGGGACGTGGTGCAGCTGGGGGACCTGGTTGACAGCGTGGAAAGGCTGGTGGCGCTGCTGGGCTGGACGGAAGAGATGAAGGACCTGGTCCAGCGGGAGGCTGCGAAGGTGGGTGCGAGGCGGGGCCTCCGGGGCCGGGCTTCCCGCCGGAGCCCGCTGGGCTGGGCGGGTGACAGGTGCACGGACCGGCTGTCAGTGCCGGCCCGGGCCCTGCCTGGGCGGCCTGCGGCCTGTGCGCACGGGTCAGGCGTGGCGGTCCTCGTCCCCTCCGTTGAGGGACCGGGAGGCCCACTGAGGGCCTGCTTCCAGGGGTGGAGCGGGAACGCAGGGCCGGCCGTCAGGGCCGTCTGGAGTCTGCGCGGCAGCCACGGCTTTGGTTCCCTGAGACACAGCGGCGCCCACGGCCGGGCCGCGGCAAGTCGGGGTGGCGGGTCCTGAGCTGTGAGGCTGGCGCTCCCCCTGCCTGGAGGGCGGGCGGAGCCCCACAGCATCTGTGGGGCCGGGTCCGCGCCGCAGAGCCCTGACGCGCTCGCGGTTCCCAGCCCCACAGGCGGGGAGGTGGCAGCCAGCGCAGCTTCCGGGGAGGCTCAGCAGGTGTCCCCCGCTGCGAGGGGTCCTTCTGCAGGAGGGGGCCGTCGGCCTCTGGGTCCGGCTGTCTTGGGAAAGCACGTGGCAGGCGGGGGAGCTCCGCCTGCGGGATCTGGGCCTGCTCAGGTTCCTGGGGCCCCCAGGCAGATGTCCTGGGAACCCCGCCCTCCAGCTGCGACTGTCCCCTCCACTGTCAGAGGCCCCACCCCCTGGCTGCAGCCCTGTCTCCGGCCTAGGGGTGGGGCGGGGGGGAGCCAGAGGCTGGCCCAGCGTGAGCCGGCACCTGTTTCCACACTGTTCGGGTGGTTCAGGGCTGAGCTGTCGCCTGCTGCCATTGTCGTTAGGTGGAGGGAGATGAAGGCCGTGTCGAGGTCCTGTTGCCGTCACTTCACGGAAGCTGGGAGTCGGCCCGGCGCTCCCACAGGGGCTGGGGGCCGAGGCAGCGGGCCCCCTGCGTGGGACCCGGGCCTGGGCTCTGACCTCTTCCACCAGTGGCCGGGGGAGCCCAGGGGCCCCCGAGGGCTTGCTGGAGCGGGTCCTGCGGGGTTCGAGCCGCGCCGTTTCCTGGTTTCTCGACTCAGGCAGATTGGGTCGCGACTTCAGGGGTTTAAGGGAAGGGCCGCCCTCCAGTGGCGCACGATGGGGTTCATCCCGATTGGCTGCTACTCAGATGAGGCCCTCGGTCCGGCCCGGGCCCCACCCTCCGCAGGCCCCCCGGCAGCGCTGGCGGGCAGAGGGGCTGCGCCTCTTGGACAGTGGTGGTTTGCGCCCTTGCCAACACCCGCCTGCTCGCCCGGTGCTCCCAGGTAACAGGTCCCCTCTCTCCCTGTGTTCCAGCTCAGTGGACAGGACAGATAGAGGGACGCTGCGTGGAGTCTCCACCCACTTCTGAACAGACCTCGTTCCTGAAGGACAGACAGCGTGGGTGGGTTTATACATTTTGGCCGGGCCAGAACGTGGACTCCAGGAGCAGAGCGCGGGGCTGCCCCTGGGGCTTTCTGAGTCCGCCTCCCTCTGCTGGACGCTCAGTGCCGCCGCTTGCCCCGGACTGTGTCCCTGGCGCCCAGGCCGCGTCCACGCGCTGGGTCCTGGCGCCATGGACCGGCGGGCTCAGCCCCGCAGCCAGCGGCCCCAGGCTGAGTGGGTGGGTCCCGAGAAGTGTGCCGGGTGCTGCCGGCTCTCCTGCTGGGTTTCTTGGTAGGGTCACTTATAACCGTTGGTCCTCGCTTGTGACAGTGAAATAAATTTTACTGTAGAAATCGGGCACCCTTTCATTTTTGTCCCCTCAAAGGGAAGGCAGGTGCTGACGACAGATGCGGAAAGGGGACCTCGGGGGTCCAAGGACAGGTGGCCCCCGTCCCCTGCGCCCCGCTGAACGCCGTCATGCTGTGTGTGCCCCGATGCCTTCCTTTCCCAGTAGCCCCCCACCCGTCCCAGACCCCGGCCCTCTCCCCCCACCCGGCCTCCCGGGCCCCCGGCCCCAGTGAGCCTCGCGGTGCGGGCTGGCTGCTCCGGCACGGCCCCTCCGCCGGGGCGGCCCCCGCGCTCCAGGTCTCGCGCAGCCTCTCAGGGGGCTGTGGTGGCCCCGCTCCTCAAGGGAAGGCTCGCGGTGGCGGTGACGGGGGGTGGGGCGGGGGGGGGTCCAGTGCGGCGGAGGACAATGCCGGGCTGGCCAACGCGTCCATCGCGCTTTTCCCATGAGAACAAGACGCGCTTTTCATTTTCACCAGTTACTTTATTGAGTTGGGGATTTGAGTGGGTCGGCTGTCCCTCCCCGTTGGCTTCTAGGGGGCGAGGTGGGGGCGCCGCTACACAGCTCCTAACGCACGAGACAGCCCCACAGCGAAGGGCGATTTGGCTAAAGTGCCAGTAGTACCAGGAAGCTTCGCGAATCACTCAGGACACGTTCCGTCACTCAGCACCTTCTCCATACGCTGCACAAATCGTTTTTGTTTGTTATGTTTTCACCTTTCTTGAAATAATGAAGCGTGATATGCCAAAAAATGTCATGTATTTTCTTCTGTCTTCAATATTAAAAAGGCTGCACAAAAATTCACCAATTCTGGTAAGATTTAAAAAAAACGTACAGATGGGACAGCTCTCACAACGCAGTCTAACAGAACTGTTTTGAGTGAAGGCCTGAGCGCTCGCTCCTGGAGCCTCGCGCGGGACGAGCGCTGACAGGCTCCCGGCCGGCCTGGCGCTCGGCGCTCATGCTCGGCGCTCACGCTCAGCGCCTCCGCTGGCGTCTGGCAGGCGTCCTCACAGACGGTCCTCCCGAGGCGGCCCTGGCAGAAACCCAGGCCCCCGGCCTCGCGTGCAGTGCTTCCCTTATGTGTTCTCGGTCACAGCCAGTGGGACCTCGGGCGGAGGATGGCGCCGCAGGCGGCCGGGCCGGGTGGGCAGAGGCTCAGTGTGCCCTTGCGAGTGTTTCTGACGTGAGGATGTGGGGCTCTGGCAGGTTCTTTCCCCCTTTCAAGTGCAGCGCCTGCCGGCCGCCTGGCCCTGGGCCGGCGAGCAGCCCCGCTTCGCCGACGCCCGCCCGGCGCACCAGAGAAGCCGCTCGGTCTGAGGAAATGAGGGGGGTTCCCGGAGTGACAGCAGGGGGACCCCCTCCCGGCCCCGGGGCCAGGGACCCGGGCCAGAGGTGGGCCGGGGCAGCCGTGGGGAGGGATGAGGGAGGGCCCGAGGGTCTCTGGAAGCAGCGCCGGGTCTGACGGGGCCGGAGCGGCCGCCCTCAGTCGGGGTCCGAGTCGGGCTCCGAGGGGAGCTGGCCCTCCATGCTCTCACACATGGCGTCCTGCAGGGAGGTGAGGTGGCCCCGGGGACTCACCCCCATGGGCTGGATGACTCTGTGCCTGTAAGGGGAGGGGCGGTGGGCGGCGTCCTGCCCCCACGCCCCCCCTCGGCCCCCGTTCCGGGTGCCCGCCAGGCCGAGCCCTGACCGCTGCGGTGCCCTGGGGCTCCGGCCCCTCGGGCAGTCTCCTCCCGTTCCCCGGCCTCCGTTCCCGAAGGACGAAGCGGGGGGTTCGCGCCAAGGCAGGCGAGCAACACGGACTCGCAGGGCCCAACGCCGCCCGAGCCCACCCCCGGGCCTCCCGAGACAGGCCGGGCCGCGCACCTGGAGAGCCTGTCGAACATGTTCACCAGCTTCATGGCCTCGTGCTCCTTCTGCTCCTCCGTCATGCCCTCCATGGGGTTGGGCAGCTTCTCCTCCACTCGCCCCGTCACCGGGTTGATGCTGCTTCCAGGGCGGCGGGCGTGGGGAACGCACCAGTGAGTCTCGGGACGGGGGCGCGGGGCGGGGCAGCCGAGGCGGCTGTGGGGAGAGCCCTCCCTCCCGGAGCCGCAGTCCACCGGCTGCCCCCACGGGGCCACTGGGTCCGCCTGGCCCCGTTGCCCTGTCCTCGGCGAGGCAGCCCGGCGTCAGGACTCGCGTCACGTGGGGCCAGTGCCGGGCTCTGGGAGGTCTTCCCCACGGGCCACGCTGTCCCACCCGGCCCGCGGCCCAGACGGCCGACGGGAGCCCACGGGCGCGCGGCACGCACCTGGCCTTGGCGTCCTTGTACTCCTCGGTGTCTGTGTCCTCGTCCTCCGAGTACTGGCCTTCGGGCCGGCCCCCCGCCATGAGGCCCCGGGCAGCCAGCAGGCCGGCCGCGTTCCCGTAGCCCGTGTACTTGATGAAGCGGGGCACTGCGGGCGGAGCGGGGATCAGCGCGCGCAGGCGGCCTGGGGCGGGCGGGCGCGCGGCCCCCGCACTCACCGCTCTCCGAGCACAGCACGAACAGGAACTCGGCCGCCACCCGCTTCACATCCGTGTCCAGGTGCGTCATCAGGCGGACAAGCTTGTTCCGCAGCTGCTCCCCGACCTCGGGCCGGGTCCTCACGTCCCTCAGCGGAGGCAGCACCTGGGGGCCGCTGTGCGTCAGCCCGGGCCGGGGCCGCCGGGCTCAGCAGGGCCGCCCCGCCCCCGCCGTACCTGGGCCTTCAGGAACTTCCGGGCAGGGCGGTGCGCGCGGGCGCACTCGGTCAGCACGCTCAGCACGGGGGCCACGCTCTCCTTCAGCCTATGCGTCTGCAGAGGGACCTGTGTCAGCGAGGGCCCCCGGCCCCCCCGCCTGGGTCCGGGGGCCCCGCGAGGGTCGAGAGCGGGCAGCGGTGTCTGCTTCGAGAGGGACCGGCCGGCCCCTAGTTCCAGGGGCCGCCTGCGTGCGCTGTGACTCGGCTGCTCTAACTTCCTCACCCAGACCAGGGTTGTGGGGGAGGGACGGGGGTGAAGCTGCTAGCGCCGCCGGCACACGGGGCGCCCTCTGAACACAGTGGCCCCAGAACAAGGACCGAATGCCTCCTCTGTGGGTTTCATGGGCACGGGGCCTGGGGGCTCCTGTCCCTCTGTCCCCACCCCTCCCCTCGTTACCTCCCCGGACCCCAACACCCGCAGTGACAGGACAGCCGAGCACAGCCAGTCTGGGCGACGCCAGGCAGGCGGGACCCAGCTCACAGGGAACCTCGGTCTGGCTGTGCAGCCCCACAGCGTCCACGGGCTCCCGGGGGCCGCGTAGAGCCCGCCGGCCGGCGTCCTCTGGTGCAGCTGCCGGCGCCGGAGCCTCCAGAGGGAGGTTCCCGTGGTCACAGGACAGCTGGTGTCGCTCCCCAAGGGCTGTCTGGGCTGCGTGACTCTGAGAGTCTAGGGTCACAAGCAGGGACTGGGGGCCTCTCAGGACCACTCAAGAGGGATCCACGAGGTCTAAAAACCAGGGACTCAGCAAACTTGATTCCAGGAGTGAAACCTTCCCGTGTGTGTGGGCAGGTCCTCCTGCTTCTCGGGGAGGAGGGGTCTGGCTTCCTGCCTCCCGGCCCGTAGGGCCGCAAGGCGGGCTGTGGGATGGCCCCGCAGAGCAACCCCACGCGCCAGGGGCTTTGGCAGAAGCAGGGCCCCGGCGGCTGGGAAAGCAGAGCCGTGGACTGTCCTGCCCACCTGGTGCAGGCGCGTCTCCAGGAAGCTGAGGAGGACGCTGATCACGTCCATGTTCACACCCAGGAACTGCACGGAGCCTTGGTGCAGCTCCAGGCTCAGGAGGACGTCCAGACACTTGAGGGGCAAGTTCCCCAGGAGGTTCACTGCGTGGCTGGGGACAGACGGGGAGGGGCTGGTAAGTCCGGTCCCCTGGTGCAGCACAGCCCTCGGCACACCCTGCCGGGCGGACCTAGTGTCTGGGGCTGGAGCAGAAGGGGACACCGCCTCGGGCGCCCGGTGGGGCGAGTCCCCGAGGGGAGCACTCGTGGCGACGCCCGGCCTGCCCCCCTCTGTCTGGGCTGAAGCAGCAAGGCCGTCTCTGGGGAACTGGATCTGCCCCAGCACAGGTCACCGAGAGCAGGGGCGAGTGCCCTGCAGGTGCCACGCCGCCCCGCGGTCGAGGGGCACGTTCCTGCCCCCGCTCACGGCTCTGGCCCAGCACGTGTGGTGGGTGCCAGGGCCCTCGGGAGACACACTGACGTCTGGTCCCACCCAGGCGGACGAAGACCCTCTAGGGCAGAGCCCCCCGCCCCCCGTGCAGACAGGGAGCGCACCTCCCTCCCGCGGGCCGGGCCTCACCCGTGGAACTCCTCCGTGCGGCCCCCGGCCGCAGCCACCATCACGCAGTGCCGCAGGAGCGTCCCCAGGTGCCGGTAAAGGGCAGCGTCTTCCTGACCAAAGAGAAGGGGCCTCCTGTGACACAGCCACACCGGTCCCCACTGCTGCCAGCTGCCGTGTGCCGACTGCGTGTCCCCCCAGCGCACACCCCGCCCCCTTCCCCGCCCACGGCGGCAATGGATCCCTCGACCTCACGCTGCGTTCCGGCCCCACGCTCCGTCTCGCGGGGGGAGGGTGCCTGCAGCCTGTCCCCACACCGCCCTCCCCGACGTGGGAACCCTGCTCCCCACAGGCTGCCCTGTCTGCGTCTGACACCCAGACACTACGGTCCCCGTCAGCGAGGCTGGTCCGGAAAACACCCAGCCTGCCAAGCACAAGCACCAGCCACGGGTTCAGGTCAGCCCTCACCTCATCCACCTCCCTCCTGATGGAGTCGAAAGTGATGTTGAAGAGAACCTTGAGGATCTCCATGGCCCGCTCTGTCTCCTGGGGCGGGAGGAGCTCTGGGGGGCTCTGTCCCGGGGCCATTCCCAGCGTCTGCTGCAGTGCACCTGTCAGCAGGCGCACGCCCTGCAGCTCCTGGAACAGCTGCTGGCGCACGTCTGTGCGAAGTGCCGTGAGCAGGAACAGGAGGCGCAAGTCAAACAGCTGGACGTCGTGGGGGAAGCTGCTCTCACGGCGCAGCCTCACGCGCTCCGCCAGCCTCACCACCAGGCGGGCCTCCGCGGCCAGCACCTGTGCCGTCGGGCTGCTGAGCACGATGTTGCACAGGCACTTGAGGGACTCGAGTATGACGTCCGTGTCCAAGGGCTCCGGGACCGACCCCTCAGCGGCGGAGATGCCGGCGTAGCGAGCAAGGGCCTGCAGGCTCTGGCGGCTGGTGAAGGGGTCCAGGCAGCCGCGGTCCCTGGACAGGATGCGGATGCTCTGCAGCCAGGTGACGCGGCGGGAGGGCGGCAAGCCCTGCTCCAGGACCGAAACCAGCAGCCCGGCCAGTCTCTGTGGGGAGAGAACAGCGCTCCACCAGGCCCCTCTACCAGGTGCACCCGTCCCTGCCCCTCGGCCCCACCTACCTTCCTGTCCTCCTGTTGGGCAGCATCGAACGTGAAGCTCTGGGAGTTCTGCAGAAAGACGCGGAGGCTCAGGGAGCACAGGCCGCAGGCACCGCTCCGAGCTGACAGAGCCCCACCCTACACACCTGCCCCCAGGTGCGCGCCGCGACCCGAACCCCAGCAACTCCTCGCAGCCTGGGCGCCCCGCCCCGCCGCGCACCCTCCCTCCGCCCCACTCCCGCACCTCCGCGGGCACGCGCGTGCCCCACCCTGCTTCCTCCACCTCGCGTGTCCCACCTCCACGGTCCCGCTCACCTCCCGATTGTACGCGCGCAGAGCCTCCACGATCACGTCCTCCTCCCCCGTCTCCACGGCGTCTGCAACCGCTCGGGGCTCCATGGCGCCCCCGGAACCCGGCGCCGAGGGGGCGGGAGGGGCCTCGCGGCGCGGTTCCGGGCCGGAGTCCACCCGCCCCGCCCAGGCTCGGCTCTCGGGAGAGGCGGGGACGGGCGTGCGCGGCGCCGCAGGGCGGGGCCTGGCTGCGCGCCGGGGAGGCAGGGACGGGCGCGCGCGCGAGCGCCTTTGGGTGGCGGTGTCAGCCCGGGGCTTCGAGATTGCATTCGGCGATCGTCCGACCTCTGGGCCTGAGTAGCCCTTGAACCGAACAGTGTCCCTTTCGCCGCTTTTTGGGCCGTACCCGGGAGTCGGGGGTGGGGAGTGGGGGTGGGGAATGAGGCTTTGAGAAGGGATGCCGACTCGGCTTCAGGGTGGGCTGCAAAGGGATCCGCCAAGGGCGGTTTTGCTGAGACCGAAGGATAAGAACTGAGCCAGGAAAGGATGTAGGGGAAGGTCACCGAAGGCAGAAGGAACAGCCCGTGGAAGTGGGAATGGCCTTGGTTGGAGAGAGAGAGGGAAGTGTCGGGAGAGGAGGCCAGGACGGAGATAGAGCCTGGTCATGCGCGGAACTTCTTAGCTGTGCACCCCAGGAACACTGGGTCACCTAATTTACTGTTTAGAAAGGCGGAGCCGATAAAAATTCCCATTTCGATGGGCAGTTAGGAGTCACGGCACACAGCAAACGCTCTGCTGCGGGGTCGGGGGGCGGGCAGCTTATACAACAAGCGTCTGCCGAGCGTCTGCGCTGTGCAAAGGCGAGAAGCGCTGGCTCCGACCGGCCCCGCGCCCCCACTTCCCACTGGGGCGCTTCACGCCTGCGCGCGCTGTGGCCGCGCCGATCTCCACTCGGTCCGGCCCGGGAAGGGCCCGACGCAGCCCGCGCCCGTCAGTCCCATCCCTGGCGCGGACAACACTGACCCCCAGGCACCGGGAGCGCCCAGGCAGCCCCTGACCAAGTCAGGTCCTTCCGCGCCCGCCGCGGGCCCCAGCCCCGCTGCTCGGCCTTCAGCCGGAAGTCGACGGCCCGAGGCGGAAGGGGCGTCGCCGGAAGCCCTTTCGCGGGACGGTGCCACGTCGCGGGAGGTTGTGGCGGATCCGGGGCCGGGGGCCGGGGCCGGCACGATGGCGGACTGGGCTCGGGGTGAGCGCGAGAGAGCGGGGCCAGCCCCCGCCCACGCCGCTGTCTGCAGGAGCCCGCCCCCGGGTGGCCCCGCGGAGAGCTCCTGGGAGGCGGGCGGGGCCGGGCCGGCCGGGCTGCGGTGGGGTCCCGATGCCCAGAGGCTGCCTCCGCCCCCTGCGAGGCCGCTCTGCCCTGGGCCCCGGTCGGCATGTCCCCGAGGCGGCGTGGTGGGAGGGCCTCCGCAGGCCTCGTAGCGGAGAGGCCCTGGCCTCCCCATTTTCCTGTGGAGCCGCTGTTCTCACCTGCGGAGTGGGGCACCGATGCCGGTCTCGCTGAGCTGCCCTCAGCGTCAGGGATTGGCGAACGTGAAGTGGCCGGTGGGGTCTGTACGCATCCACGACAACGTAATCGGGTCTCACTAAGGCACCTGGTTCTCCGCCACTGGGGGGCGGTGGTTTCCGCACCTGTTGTGGTGGAAAGTTCAAGTCCTGGTTCTGCCCTGTCTCTTGTCCCAGTCGCCCTGTGGCGGGGCGGGGGCGGGGGGGGGGGCATCGGCCTCCTTTGTTGTTGGGGAGCAAGGCTTAGTTGTTTCCTCCCTGGTTACTTGTCACTTTTTCAGGACTCAGTTCACGGGTGGTCACTGCCTCCTGGGTGCCCTTCCTCAGCCTTCCCCACTGTCCCTACCAGCTTATGCTGTTTACCTCTGAGAACAGCTCGCCCGCACAGCAGTGGTGACGTGTGGAGGGAGGGCCCAGAGCTGTCACAGAGTATCTGAAGGTGCCAGTGGGACGGAACCACTGGGGGCTGTACCCGCGAGGGTTCCTGCCCTCCCGGCCTGGGCATGGACGCGTGCGACCTGCCCGCGTGTACGAAGTCCATGCACCCGACGCTGGGTCCCCCAAACGTCGGGCTTGGCCAGATGGGATCGTCGTTTGAGCCCTGAGGCCACAAAGGGCTGCCGTGCAGGGGTCAAGGGCTCATGGGCGGATGTGCCCCTTCATCCCCTCTCTCTTTGCAGCTCAGAGCTCTGGCGCCGTGGAGGAGATTCTGGACCGGGAGAACATGCGGATGACCGACAGCCTGGCCTCCAAAGTCACCAGGCTCAAATCGGTCAGTAGTGGCCCACTTTCGCCTCCAGCTGGCACCCTGGAGTGGGGACCAGAGGGGACAGAGGCCTGGAAGGGTTTCAAGTACTTCCCGCTTGTGTGAGGCCCAGGTGACCCTGGGCCTGACCCCCGGTGGTAGCACTGTGACCGGTAGAGTAGGTGATGGGGTTTGCGGGGTGAGGGGGTCAGGCGCCACGGCGGGAGTGTGCCCTGGCCCGACCCTGCCCCGTCTGTGTCCTGACCAGCTGGCCCTGGACATCGATAGGGACGCGGAGGACCAGAACCGGTACCTGGACGGCATGGTAAGGTCTGCGGTGGGCACGAGTCGCTCAGCTCTGCCCTCTGCCTGCGGCGCAGGCCCCGGTGACCTGCCGGATTCCTCCCCTAGGACTCGGACTTCACGAGCATGACGGGCCTGCTCACGGGGAGTGTGAAGCGCTTTTCCACGGTGGCGCGGTCGGGGCGGGACAACCGGAAGCTCCTCTGTGGCGTGGCCCTGGGCCTGGTCGTGGCCTTCTTCATCCTCTCCTACCTCCTGTCGAGGGCGAGGACGTGAGCCGGGGAGCCGGCTTCTGTGGGTGCCTGGGGCAGCCAGGGCCTTCCCCCGCCTGGTGTCCTGGGCTCCGGCTGACCTCCCTCAAAACATTCCTTTGAAATGGCGTTTGTGGTTTGGGCATCTTCCTGTGAGGCTGGGAGGCCATGGTGCCGTGTTGGCTGGTGCCGCGTGTGCCGGGGCCCCGGGTGCGGGAGGTACTGACAGCCACATCCGAGCAGAGTCGCTGGAGACCCTGGACGTGGCCACCGGTCTGCAGCCCGTCCCCAGCCGAGGGCTCCGGCATCTTGGGGCTCCTCGGCCCCATCTTTGTCGGGGTGAGGCCGCGTCTCGACTCGAGGTTCCTGGATCTGATATGGGAAGGGGGTGAGGCTGTGAACCTCCAGTCAGCACCCTCTTCTCCACCCAAGCCCCAGCCCGGGGATGGTGGTTGCTCCGGGCCTGGGCTGCCACGCACGAGGGGACCGGTGCTGCGGGCCCACCGCTTGGCCTCTGCCTGCCCCCCGTCCCACAGCAGAAGCCGGATCTTCAGGGAAGGCGGGGGTGCAGGTGAGGGAGGGGGCTTCAGTCCCGGCTGGAGGCCCTGCGCCCAGTCGTTTTGGGTTTTGCGGCCGTGTGTGCGAGAGCAGAACCCCGCGTTCCCTCAGGATTGAGGATCTGCCCAAAGATGTATTTCCCCGGACCAGACTCAGAGTCAGGCAGAGTGTGGGTGACGCGGGAGCCTGTGGGTCTTGACAGGCCCCCCGTGTGGGACCCACAGGGCACTTGAGGGCCACCGGGCAGCGCCTTCCCCACAGAGCAGGCCCGGCCTCCTGCGGGGAGCCTCCCCTTGCTGGAGGCAGCACCTGACCCTGGGGGTAGGAGGGCTCTGCAGGCACTGGTCCCCAACACCAATCTGCGTCACGTGAGGGCAAATAGGCCCTATCGCATAATTTGATGACAGAACATTAAACCATAACCATTTGGAATAAACATCGCGGGCTGGTGGGGCTCAGTGGACTGAGCCCTGGACGGTGAACTGAAAGGTCGCCGGTCTGGTTCCCGGGCAGGGCACGTGCCTGGGTTGCAGACCAGTCCCCCGTCGAGAGGCAACTGGTGTGTGTGTTTCACATGTCAGTGTTTCTCTTTTCTCTTGTCCATCCCCTCACTCTAAGTTAATAAAAGTTTTTCTAAAACAATTCTTGGAATAAACGACTTCCTCATTTCGGTGGCAGCTTGAGAGGGTTTTGTGTGACGGCGGCAGCTGACACCTTCCCTGCCCATGCCTTGTGCTTTCTGCCTTGTCTGATGTGTCACGGGTCACCTTGGAACCCAGTTCCTTGAAAGGCAGTAGTGACTCACATCTCACGGTCACGGTTGGGACCTGAGGCGGGCCCGGGGCCGTCACCTGAGAGCTCCCTCGCTCGGCGGCAGGTTGGTGCCGGGGGTGCTGCCGGCTGCTGGGCCCTTACAGCCGGTGCTGGTGCTGAAGGGGAGTAAGGCCGGAGGGGGGGACAGGGATCCAGGCGGAGCTGCGTGGCCTGTCCCCAGGAGATGCCTAGTGTCACCGTTCGGGGCGGTCGCAGGCCCTGGTGCAGGCTTGAGGGGAGTGGCACAGACCCCTTCTCCCGAGGAGACTCCGTCCCCCCCGTGACTGTCCGGGGCCTCCACACTCTGAGGGCAGGGCCCAAGGCAGAATCGGGAGGACAGGCTAGGCCACCTCACCCCCGAGCCGCCCTGGGAGACTGGATTCTCCCCCCAAGACGAACCAGTTGCTAATGGAATCCTGATTTATTAAATATGTGGGCACAGGAGGAAACAAAATTAGCAAATGGGAAAGCAGCATAGAAAAGTGTCACAACTCCAAGCAAGCGCCCCGCGCCCACGGCCCAGGCCTGCCGCTGCGGGCCTTGCGCGGCGCGGGGGGCGGGGCGCTACTCCACTTGCACGACCAGGGGCGTCATGTAGTCAGAATGTCTGATGCCGAAGGTGATGATGGGGGCGCAGGGCTTGGTCACTGTCACCTGGGGACGGAGAGGCTGTGAGAGGGGCCGGCTCCTCTGCCCTCACCCCACAGGCTCTGCCCTCACAGGCTGGGGTTGCCGATGGCTTTCCTGCCCCCGCAGCAGCCCGGCGAGCACAGAAGCCGCTGTGGGGCGAGTGCCTGGCAGCATTAACGGTCTGGGCACAGAGCCTGCCCACGGGGCGAGGGCGGGGGACCGGGCCGACACGCACCGGCAGGCCCCGCCCCCCACCCAGCGCGTCAGCCCTGTCCCCCTCCCCCGCACCCCCTGTGCCTCCCAGACCTTCTCAGGGCTGTGGGCTCCTGGCCCTGGCTTGAGGGTCTTGTCCCCCGGGGGCTCCACGCGGGCAGCGATGGTGTACTGAGGGGCCTTCACCTTGGTCGCCTGCATGTCGGCCTGGTGGTAGGCCGCAGGGCCTGGGGTCTGGGGGGCCAGAGGGGCTCGGATGGGCGCTGCCTGCTGGGGCCTGTGACCCCAGAGGGCAAGGGGCCAGCACTGGACATGCGGTTGCAGGGCCTGGGTCTCCGGGCCTGCGTCCGGGGCCCCTTCCGTCTCCAGACAGCGTTCCCCGTGGGGCGAAGCCCCCGTGCTGGGGACCCTGCCTGTCCGGGGCGTCCCCCTCCAGGTCAGCCCCATGGTGACAGAGTCACCCCAGCGTGTGGCAGTGCACGCTCCTGCCCGCTGAGTGCGGGAGAGGCCCCTCCCCTGGGCTGGGGCGCGGTCCTGAGGGGCCAAGGGCCGTGGGCCGGGCAGGGCAGGAGGGGCCCCCGGGGCCTCGGCACTGGCTGCCGCATCCGCCCTCCCCCCCCCCCCGCCCCGGCACGCAGGGCTCCGCGGACCCCTTCTCACCCGTCCCCAGTGCGCCAGTGCGACCAGCACCGGCAGACCCCCAGGGCTGCAGAGCCGAGGGGCTGGGGGGGGGGTGGGCTCAGGCTGGTGGGCCCTGGGTCCCGGGGAAGGGGCCACGAGGGCCAGCCTGGGGGGCGCGCCCCGGCCCCTGGGCCCCTTGCCTTGTGCAGGTCATCGCTGAAGCTGCCCAGCTTGCTGCGGCCCTTGATGGAGAAGGAGGGCTGCGAGGCCTTGCCCACAGCGTGGGGCCCCATCACTGCCGGCAGCATGTACGCGGCAGGGCCTGCGGGGGGCGCCAGCGCTGAGCTCTGAGTCTGCTGGCTCCCTCCCCGCTGATGAGACCGGCCATGGGACCGGTCGGTCATCAGGCCGCCCAGCGCACCCGCCCCTCGCTGACCCCCACCCCGTCGGCGGGGGCTGCGGGGGTTGACGCAGACCTGGGGTGCTGTCCACTTGGAAGGTCTTAGTCCGGGCGGAAATGGAGTGGCTGGGCGCTGAGTCGAACACGTACCTGGTCGACCTCTCTGGGAAGTAGTCGCCTGCGGGAGGGAAGGGGCAGAGCGGGGTGCTGGCCGGGCAAGGGCCACCCTGCGGTCGCCTGGTCGGCTCGGGGCCTCAAGAACGACCCCCGACATTGTGGGCGCCCGGCCTTGGGGCCCCCGCACGGATGGTGAGGGTGGAGAGGGCCCAGGGGTGCCGGGGGTGGCGATGCTGCGGGGGAGGGGCAGGGGCCGAGGAGGACCCAGGTCGCAGCCGGGCTCAGGTGTCTCAGAGGCTCCCCCGCGGTCAGCAGCTCCTCTGTCCGGGCCTGGCAGTCGCTGCCTTCGAGGGGGGCGGGCGGCTGTGCTCCCTCGCAGGCCGGCTCAGGGGTGCGGGTGGCTGCGCCGGGGGCGGGGTGGGGGGCGGGGCAGAGGCGGGGCCCCTGTCACGCACCGGGGCCGGGGGTCAGCATGGTCTTGGAGTGGTAGCGCCCCAGGATGGAGAAGGCGGGTCCAAAGTCTTTGCCGGTCCTCAGGATCTTGGGGTTCACGCTGTAGCGAGGCCCTGGGGAGCAGTTCTCTGCCAGGAGCATGGGGGCCCCGCGGAAGCTGTAGGCGGGTGCACGCAGCTTGGTGGGTGTGTGCTTCACAAAGCCTGCGGGGCAGGGGTTCTGAGTGGTCCGGAGCCAGACCCCGACCTTCTCCCCACCCTGCTGAGCCCAGAGGGGCTGATGCGCAGAGCCCAGGCCCTCCCCCGGCTCACCCCAGGCCGCCCCCAGGCTCGCCCCGACCTGGCTCCGGCCCGCCCCCCGCAGGCCCCCAGGCACCTACCCGTGGTGGGCGGGATCAGGTACTTGGGCCCGGGGCTGCTGTAGAGGGCCATGATGGGCCCCCGCGGGCGGTGGGGCCTCCAGCTTCCCACCCACACCTCCTCCGCCATGGCCGGCTCTGTGCGCGGACAGGGTGGTGAGCGCGCGCCCGCGCCCCCACCCCCTCCTCAGCGGGGTCGCAAGCTGGGGCCCGCGCCTAAGGGCCCTGGAAGCTTCCGTTTGGAGGCGTGGGTCTGCTCTGCCCTCCCCAGTGCCCAATGCAGCAGCCTCAGAGCCCGGACCAGCGGTCTCCTCCGGGCCTCTCGGACCACCCCCCACTGGCTCCAGAGGGCCTGGCCGGTTCCCCCTGTCCGAGGCTGCTGGGCACGGCCGGGCAGGAGCAGCGGGTAGCCGGGCTGAGGCCGTGCTGTGGTCACCTCCTGGGGCCGGGCGCAGCACTCAGAGCAGCCTCTGGACCGAGCCTCCTCAGAGGCGGTCCCGTTGCATCGTCCTCAGTGTCGGAGTTGCCGAGACAGGAGCATGCAGAGGAAGGCCTCTGCCCCTCTCCTCTCCCGTGGGGGCTGGGGGGTCGGGGAGTCCCCGCCCCCGAGCTCTAGAATGTGGCTCTGGGCATTGGGGTTCTAGATTCCTGTCTGTGTGAGGGAGACAATGGCCTCTACTAGAGGGACCCCCACCCCTTGTCTGATGTGGCTCTGGTCCCGGGACTTCGCTCTGCCCCTCATTGCCGAGCGAGGCCACGCACAAAGGGATGGCGAGGCCACGGGGCCCAGAGCCAGGCGGCCTGGGAGCAAAGGTCGTGAAGGGTAGAGCTGAGCCTCCTGAGCTCGGCCCCTGGAGACCACTGAGCAGGGGAAACGGAGGCAGGAAGGAGTCCTGGGGTCCGGGGCCAGGGCCAGGGCCAGAGGGGAGGCCCTGTCTGGACCCGGCTCTGTCCCCCTCCACGGCCGGCCCGCCGGCCCTCAGGCTCGGCCGGCCGCTCGGGTGCCTGCCTTCTCGCCTTTGTTGGCTCATCTTGGGGCTCGGGCTTGGGTGTCTTCCAGGCTCTTCCCTCAGGGGAGTTGGGGGAGAGATTGCTCTCAGCGCCCTGGACCCGTGCCACGCGTGGGCCGCCTGTGCTCGCTGGCTCGGAAGGAGCTGCCCTCCCAGCCCGGCCCCTTCCTCTTTCTGGGCTCTCTGCCCACCCTGCGCCGAGCCTGTTCCCACCTGCACCACGAACCCCACACCCTCTCCCGTCCGGATGCCCCCGCCTGTCTGTTCTCCAGCCTCCGCGGGCCTCAGGCTGGCTTTGCACTGCTGGGCTGCCCTCTGTGTGGGGCGCGTATCCACGTGTGCCTCACGCGGGTGCGCCTGCATGTGTATGTGGTGGTGTCCCCGAGTGTGGGAAGAGACAGCCAGAGCCTGAGCTGCAGGAGGCTTTATTGATCGAGTGGTTGAGGATGAAGTGGCGCACACGGAAGTCTGGGCGGCCGTGTGGCCACAGCTGCTTGTAGCCGCGTCTGGGGTCCGCTAGGCGCTGTCCTGACTGCCCAGCACTTGCACCTGGAAGGCAGACACAGGGGAGGTCCCATCCCTGGTGACCAGTCACCACAGAGCCACAGCTCCACAGGGGAACGGGTGCAGGACACCCTCTGGGGACTGTGGGCCCTGGCACGCTGCACCTGGGGGCTGGAGGGGACACGAGGGCGGCCCTGGGGGCGGTGAGGCCTGGGGAGCAGGCTGTGGCCGTGCAAGGGCTTCAGGGCGCGGGAAGTGGGGTGCCCTCCCCGGCACAGTACCAGCAGCTTGACCAGCTCCGCCTTGTGCATGGGCTGCATGCCGTCTATGCAGGACTTGAGCTCAGTCAGCGCCGCCTTGGCGTCCGCGTTGACGTTGTACTTTCCCAGGGGCCCCTCATAGAGCTCCTCGGGGGACCCCACCAGCAGCGATTGTAGGAATTCCATGAAAAACTCGTTCTCGTCCTCCCCGGGGACCAGCCCTGCGTGGTGGGGGCGAGACGGTGCCGGGACAGGGGGATGGGGGTCCGGCCGCAGCCCCTCGCCTCCCCAGCTCTCCAACCTCGGTGGCCTCCAGACGCCCGCTGAGGCTGGCCTCCCCTGCTCCAGGCGTCCCCCACGATTTCCCTGCCTCCCCTGCCCCTGATCTTTCTCCGCGACACCGCAAATCCACCTGTCTGCAGTTCCCGCCTGCCACCCTGACCTTAGCTTTCTGTCTTCAGCTCCCTGGGCCGCGGGGGGAGGGAGAGCCAAGCCCCTGACGCGGGGACCCCCCTCCGTGCGGGGCCGCGGGCCTGGGGCTTGGAGGGCGGGGCCTGGAGTCGGCAGGGGCTGGGGTTGTCGCCCACCTCCGTGTTCTGGGGTGCAGGAGGGCTGGGGCGCCAGGGAAGGTGGGCCTTCTCCACCACGGGGAGCCCAGCGCTTGGGCTCCTAGCTTCCCAGGTCCCCGCCCAGCCCCCACAGCAGAATGTGCTGGAAGCACCTGTCAGCGCAGACTCACCGCAGGTGCAGAGCAAGGTGACAGCCGCCAGCAGGAAGGTGCTGCTCCCCTTCATGGCGGACAGCAGAGGTTCCCCGGGAGCGGCCTTGGCTGGCTTTATGTCCCGGGGGCGGGGGGCCCCTGGCGGGGGGCGGGCCGACCTGCCCATCCGGACCTGGCCAGCAGAGGTGGGGCAGTGGGGCTGGGTCCTCCCCTCGCCCTGCAGGGGGCGCCATGCAGCCACAGGCTTAGGTTCTGGGGGAGTGGGCACAGGGGCGGGGCAGGGCGGGGGAGCCTGTTGGGGGGGCGTGGGGGAGGGCCGTGGCACTGGGGTGCGGGGCCCCTGGTTTGCGTCTCAGAGCGTCTGGCTCTGGGCCGGTTCTGGGTCTTTCCTCCGCGGCGGCAGTTCCCCTCCATTCGTTGAGCCACATGGGTCGGCATCTGGCTCCCAGCCCAGGGACCCGGGCCAGCGGCCTCTGTGGAGGCAGCCGTGGCAGCAGAGGGGGCTCCCTGGGGGCTCCTGGGGTCTGTGCGTGTGGCCGTGGGAGACGGGGGTGGGGTGGGAGGCACCGGAGGCCTGAGCCGGCAGCTGTGTCCAGGGATGGAGAGTGGGCCTGGGCGAACGGAGGGGTGAGGGGCAGGGCCGGCCTCGAGCCCTGGCGGGACTACCATGTCCAGGCTGGAAGGGAGGAGGCAGGGCTTTCTTCTGGGGCCGGCCAGCCCAGGGGGGCCTCTGATACGAGGGAGACAGTCACAGCCCCCTGAGCCCCAACCGGGTGCGCTGGGAGCAGCCATTCCTGGTTTCTGGAGCCTGGGCCTTGCCTCCCATCCCTTGCTGCCACCTGGCGGCTGATGCTGTCGTGCCGGACGGTCCTGCTCACCCCGGAAGACCCAGGGTCCAGCCTCGGCCCCGCCGGCCCCGCAGTCTGCACTGACCTGCGCCTCCCCAGACAAATCCACAGACTGGCCTTGTCAGCGTTGGTGACCGTGAAGTCCCTTGTACCCTGCCCCTCACTCACAGCCCCCTGGGCCCGACTCTGCCAGAGCCCGAGGGAGGGGTCTTATCTCTGCTGCATTGCTCCTGTCAGCGTGATCTCCAGCGAAGACGTTCCACAGCCCCCGCACCCCCTCCGACCCCCCACCTGTCTGCCCCCGCCCTGGGCTTCCGCTCGGCTCAGCCACTGGGGAGGGACAAACACACGCTGCACCTCCTGTCTGGGCCTGGGCCGTCTCCTGATGGAGGAGGACAGTGAAGACATTCTATCAAAACCTCGCCCATCCTATTGACTTGTGTGATGTTTGGTCATAATTTCCACAGATGCGCAAACACCCAGATGATACTGATGAAATCATGGGATTCCTTGTCATGATCACACAGGCTCTTTGTGTGAGTTTTGGGACATTTATTGTTCCTTATGACCTAAGGGGCCAAGGAAGATACAGGTGTTTCGTTCTTGCACAGAAATACTAAGGTCATTCCGTAGTGAAGATACCAGACAAATCAGCCAGCCAGACTGTCTGAGTCACGCGTTGATGCCCCGGGCCCGAAGTGGCTGCTTTCTCCTGCGTGTCCGCTCTGTGTCAGCACCCAGCTGGGCAGCCGCCCCGCCAACCCTCTCGTGTGGGACGCGTCCGAGCTGCTCGCAGCAGCCCGCCCATCGCCACGCTGAGGGGCCCCTCGCCGGGGACGCGGGCTCTCCTGACGAGCTGCCCACGGGGCACCCCCTCAGTGCGTCCTGGCCCGGAGCTCGGCTCGCTGACTCCGCGCCCAGCCCTCCGCCGACCTTCGTGCCTTCAGGCGGCTGCGCCTTCGCGAACGGACGGCCTCCCCGCAGCCCCACGACCCGACAAGCCACGTGGCTGCTGGGGGGCACTCCTCGCGCGGCGTCCGGTGGAGGACGGGGACCACGGCGAGGGCCGCGGAGGGGAGCCCGGCCTGCCTCTCACGGGCATTAACCCGTCCTGCCATTGACCATCTGTTTACGTATTTTACCTCATGTGTCCAGTAAATTGCAATCAAAGGGTCCCAGCGGCCACGCCAGAACAGGTGGTCCCCGAGGTGCCCTCTGCTGGGGGCCTCGCTGGGGGTGCCCAGCGGGGGCGATGGAGACGCGAGTGGGGCACACCCAGCAGCTCTGCCCTGCCCCCTTCCTGTCCCCAAGGGGGACACCCCAGAACGAGGGCCGACAATGAGCAGGAGGAAGAGGGGCCTGCATGGGTAAGTTATCTGTATTTTCTGTATTTCAGGGTCCATTGTAGAAATGTATATTTTTACCAGGAAACCACCCATTTCCTCTCATTTTCCAGTTATTTGAGTCTTAACTTCTCCTCTCTATTCTTTTTGTACAGAATGTTGTAAATAATAAACACATATTGACACATTATCATGACCTAAAGCTGACATTGCATTCAGTTTCCCGCATTCAAGGCTCAGTCTCAGCCTCTGTCCGAGTCCTGGCCGCTCTCCAACTGGAGGGGCTGCTGTTGGCCTCCGGGGCTCCCGGTGACCGAATGGGGTGGGTGGTCATAAATAAGACCGGGAGAAGGACGTGGGGCCTGAAAAGAGGTCAGGGTCTGCTGACGGAGACTTTGTTCTCTGGCCGGGGCGTCCGGCCTTGTGGCGTCTCTGGGCCACACTGGAAGAAGAAGAGTTGTCTTGGGCCACATATTAAATACACAAACTCTAACAAAAATTGAAAATTGATGAGCAAAACAAAGGTTTTAAGTAAAGTTACAATTTTGTGTTGGGCCACATTCATAGTCATCCTGGGCCACATGCTGGACAACCCTCTGGGCCGGGGCGGGGGAAGCCGCCGGCAGCTGTCAGAGCTCGCTCTGCTGAGAGGACGCTGCCTGCTCTGTGCCTCGGCCCGTGGCCCTGGGGGTCCTTGTCTGACGGAGGAGGAGACCGAGTCTCCGTGGATTTGCCTGAGGTCACACAGCCAGTGGGCGGCGGAGCCAGGGGTCAGCTCGGCACCTGCGGGGGCTGGACTCCATCGGAGCCTCTAGGAAGCTCGTGCCGGGTGAGGCCTGGGAGGAAGGGAGCGTGGGCCCAAGCAGAGCCGCGCTCTGGGCGGAAAACAGATTTTAAACAGCTGGCGACGGGCAGGGCGTGGAAGGCGGGGAGCCGCCGTGACGGGGACCTGGCGCTGGCTGCGCTTCTGTGAAGGGCCAAACCACCTCCTCCTGCCCCAGGCGCCCCACACAGGCGCAAGGCCGGCCGGACCATTCGGTTCCGGGCTGTTTTCTTCACGTGCGGTGACCAAGATCCAACACAAACCTGCAAAAACTACGGGATCGCTCTGCTGGTCCAGGGCGCCGTGTGCGCACCCTCTCCTGGGCCGTCTTGGCCCGTTCGGGTCTGCACTTCGAACTTTGTCAGATTCAGTCTTCGGTCGAAATACACCTAAAAGGCAGTTAACAAACTTCCTTGCCTCGCCTAGCAAACAGGAACTGTAGTTAAGATGACGCATGTGAAGGGCTTGAAATAGGAATTGTATCAAAGTGAGCTTATTACAAGCGTCCCCCCTCCGATTCTAGTATTAATGCAGAGTAGGCATAGCCTGTTACCAACGCCGTCCCTGACCCGGCCGAGCCCCCCCTCCCTGAAGAAACGCCTGTGCCGCCTGCAAAGCCCCAGAGCAGCGTGGCCGCCAGTCCCGGTCCTCCGCCCCCGGGGATCCGCCCGCGCCCCGGCGGCCACCGGCCTCTGGCCTCGGCCTCCCTGCGGTCGGACGCCGCACCGGCCGCACGTTTCCGGAGCCCTTCTCAGGTCCAGCCTGTCCCCCCTTTGGCCCGTCCGTCCCCCCTCTTCCCTCCGAGCGGCCGCAGGAGCCCGTGTAGGCGGAGGGGTGTCGGTGGAGCCGCGCGGGCCGAGGGTCTCGGGAAGGAGAGCAGAGGAGGGTCCGGGCGACGTCATTCCGAGAGAACTTCGGGAACTTCAGGGCAGGGGGTGACCAGTGAGGGACGGAGGGGCGGGGCTTAAAAATGGGGCCTGGTGGGGCCGGGAGGGTCGCGGGGCCTGCGGAGGTGCCGGCGCGGCTGTGATTCCCGCGGGTCGCTGTCGAGGTTCCGGGGGCGAAGCCGCGGTGAGAAGCTAAAGGCGGCGCGTGTCTGGAAGGAGGACGCTACCCTGGTGCGCGGTGCTGTGAGGCGGTGCGCTCCGGAGAGGGTAGGACCGGAGACTCCGGGGGGAGGTTTGAAAGGGTTCCATTGGGGGTGGGAGGGGCAGGGCCGCGGCAGAGTTTGGGTGGAGCAGAGAGAACTGAGGTTTGGTGACGGAGACGAGAGAGGGTCGAGGAGGGTTTTGGGGGAAGGGCGATGGGGTTGGAGACGGGACCCCGGGCCTCGCGCTGGCACAGGTTTGGGGGTCCTCTCCGCCGCAGTAAGGGGGGGAAGAGAGAGAGAGAGAGAGAGAGAGAGAGAGAGAGAGAGAGAGAGAGAGAGAGAGAGAGAGAGAGAGAGAGAGAAGCGGCCTCGCCGCGAGCGACCCCGCTCCCCAGGCCTCCAGCCTCTGACACGCGGGTGGGACGCAGGGCGCGTCCAGGGGTCGCGGAGAGGAGCGCGCTGTGGGTTCACGTGGACGCGCTCGCCAAGGCCGCCTAGCTCAGCCCCCTCTTTCCTGGTTATGAAAAGAAGAAAACACGGGAAAACCGGCGCCCGGGAGCGTGGAAACGCAGTGAAGGGCTCCCCCGTTTTCCGCGGTGCGAGGACAGGGAGAGGGTCGTACGTGGCTGGATCCCACGAGCCGGAGCGGGGGCTCCGGACGCCCGAGGAGGGCCCAGCGCACACGCGCGGCCCCGGGCAGCGGGCTCGTTGCAGGAGCGCTTTTCCCTCCAGGCCTTTCTTTCCTCGGCTGCTCAGGGGTCCTTGGGGACCGAGGGGTCGGCGTTTGCACGACCGAGGCGTCCCCGGTGGAACAAACGCTCCCGTCCGAGCCGACGCCGCTCCGGGGGACGTCTCGTGCTCGGCGAGGGGAGGGGTGGAGGCGGAGTTTGGGGACAGTTCTGGTCCCACAAGTGAAGTGACAGCCGGGGAAAGGCCTTCTTTGCCGCAGCCACTGTGCCCAGTTCCCCC